CCACTATCCGATTTTTCAAATTCTACCTCTAAATTTAGCACTGACTCTCTGACCAAAAGAAACTGTAATGATCGGTGCTAGGTCGAACTAAGTCGCAACTAAGCTGAAAACTAAGCCGTACTAAGCAGAAACTATAATAATAGGTACGAAGTCGGAACTGAGCTGAACTATAATAATCGGTACGAAGTCGGAACTAAGCAGAGACTATAATAATCAGTACGAAGTCGGAACTAAACGATTTTCCGTCTTTGGCGTGCTCTTTTATATCGTTAGAAGTGGTGGTGCTGAGCGGGAAAGGGGGTTGACTTGTCAACAGTTACCGGAACCGTTTGAATTGTTCTAGAACTTTCGCGCCGATCTAATAAAATTTTATTAGATTTTACCGTTTTAAAGGGCGAAATTGCCGAATCTAAATGTTGACAGGGCCCTCTTAGTCGCTCCGCCCCTGTGCTGCATAATGTGCAGTCGCTGTGCGCGTTTATTCGCGTTACATTCCGCCGAATAATGTTTTCTCTTTTTTTTATATATAGAGTTTGAGTATAGAGCGTTTGTGCGTTATTCGTATCGCGAAGCTTATAACGGATCCCGCAGGTTTTGTTATAAGCTTTTGATGCACTTGCGGATACGATTCAGCTAAGTATTCTCGATCATAAGCGCAGTATTAGCCGCTTTCTGAATCGGCGCAGTCAAATTTGCAGTTGCAATTACTGGATTTAAATGAAGTAATTTTATTGATTACTTCAGAATACTGCGATAGATCGAGAATAGTAGAGAGCCTCTTACTTCCCTATGGATTATCATTCAATGTTATGGGGTGTTAATTTATCTCGCTATTAATTTAAACGGTTTTTCACGCGATTAATTATATTAGATCGCGCAAGCGCAATACGGTTTAGTAACAGCTGTTCTGATCACGCGCTAACCGCGTGATCACGATTCGCGAGGATTTCGCGGCTGTCGCGACAGTTCGCGTTGCCACGGCAACGCGTCTAGCGTCGTTAAGAGTGACGTTCGCCTGCGCGTAAATTTCGGCGGACGTTACAAGAAACAAGGTTTGTTTTGAAAAGAAAATTTGGTTAAGGCACGTTGACATGCGCAGTCACGAATTGAAAACGACTATATAGAGCGACAGAGAAGACTAATGAAGCACAAGAGGGGGGGGGGGGGG